ACTTTTCCCAACAGATGTACTGGGCGCAGGGAACCATTGAGTTGACTTTCAAGGTGACCAGATATGACAAGTTGCGACTTCTTTTTATGGGGATTTATAACGAGCGTTCAAATAAAAACGTGGTCAAGTTGGTTCTGAAAATTTGGACGTAGGGCGTAGCGTATAGCAAATGAACTTAAACGTCATCTGTCAAAGCGCTATATCGCCGCTATCAATTTGAATATTTTCGTTTTAAAAAGCGTTTAAAATGGTGTTTTCTCAAGAACAAAAAGTGTTTATCATAGAGTCCTACTTTAGAAATGGACGCAAGATTGATGGAATATGGAAGTATTCTATTGAGGAATGTTTCATAGAATTTCAAAATCAATTTCCCGGCGTTGTTGAGTACAAAATTTTTCAAAGTGCAGTTCAGCGTTGTGTTAATGTTTTTCGTGAAACGGGCAGTGTAACAAGAAAAGAAGGAAGCGGCCGACCTAAAAAGCGGACTGAAGAATTAAAAGAAAATGTCCAACAAATAATGGAAAATGCGCCAAGAACTTCTGTACGTGTTTTATCACAAATGGTGGGAGTATCAGTCGGTACCTGCCACACAGTGTTAAAAAAAGATTTGCGTTTGTTCTCCTATCGTTTAACTTGTCAGCAAGAACTTCATGAAGTTGATTTTCCGCGACGGGCTGTATTTTGTGAATGGTTTTTAAACAACTACGGTGAACTTCATAATATCACCTTTTTTTCTGATGAAGCCTGGTTTCATTTAAGTGGTTACGTAAACTCACAGAATATGAGAATGTGGTCTTCTGAAAAACCAGATAACTTTTTTGTCGAGGGCCCTCTACACGCTCAAAAAATTGGAGTTTGGTGTGCTCTCAATCGAAGGAGGATTTATGGACCTATTTTTTTTAATGGTACTCTTACTGCGCAAAGGTATAGAGAAGAAATTATCGCTCCTTTTGTTAACCAGCTGGAAGAAAACGAAATTACAAACTTTTACTTTCAACAAGATGGCGCAAGGGCACATACGGCAGGCGAGACGATGAATATGTTGAGGGAAGTTTTCCAAAATCGACTAATAAGTCTCAATGCTGAACATGAATTTCCACCGAGGTCATGTGATATTACGCCGTGTGATTTCTTTTTGTGGCCTTACCTTAAAAACACTATTTTTGAACTGCCTATTCCTGATTTAAACCATCTGCAGGCTCGACTTATAGACAAGATTCGTGAAATTAACAATACCCCGAGCATCTTAGAAAATGTCTTTAATTCTTTGAGGAACAGGTGTGAAAAGTGCTTGGAACAAGGAGGGGGACACTTTCAGCAGCTGCTTTAATTTATTGTTATAACAAGGAGGGGGACACTTTCCGCAGCTCCTTTAATTGTTTGTTATTGTTATCACGATTATTCTTTAAAATAAAGTTATATAGTCATTAACGTTATTGAAACTGACAGCTGCTATACAGTTCGTTGAGAAATGAGGTTAAGTTGGTCGCTATAAGCTACTCCCTACGTCCAATGTGTCAGAGCACGTTTTTATTTGAACGCTCGTTACAAAGCAAAGTTTACGTTACACCACCAACTACCGTGGAACATATGTGGCAGCGCATTACAGTAGCAATTCAAGAAATTACGCCAGACATGCTGAACAATGTTGAACAGTCTTTTAAAAACCGAATTCGTTTGTATATTAATCAAAATGGAGGACACTTCGAGTAATTGATGTAAATCAGCGGTCTAAGTAGTATTCTCCTTACGAGTTCCAGTTTGTTTCGTTTTGCGTTTTGTTTTAGTTGTTAGTGGTTTCCTTTTGTTTGTCAAACCACTTTTTAAACATGCCAGAAAATACTGGCACTGTCAGTCTCAGGCCTGATAAAATGTGAGAGAAAAGTGGTTTTACAAGGCCATCTTGACACTTTTTCGGACTTTAGCAAAGAACTTGATTTTTCTGGAAAACTGTTGAAGATAATTATGAACAACCTCATATCAGTCGAAAGGGCATTCAATTTTGCATTCACCCATGATAATTAATATGGGTCATTCCATTTGAAAAAGAAGGTTTTTCACCTAGTAACATTATCAAATATAGGGCACAGTATTTCCTAGTCTGAATAACGTACATGTTTTGCTCATAACAAAATAGAGTAATTTATGCCAAAACGAACTGTGAAAACTGTAGGTTTCTAGCTCTTACGGTTTAGATGTCTCATTTAGAGAAGTGAAATTGTGATTTTTTTCAAAAACTACTGATTATCTCGAAAACGGTAAGTTTTAAACAGCATGTACATTTAATAAACTCTACCTAATATTAACCAAGGAATTCAAAAATGCAATAATATACAGGGTGTTCCATTTAAAATAAGAAAGTTATGAAGCGCCCAAGCGAAATAGAACACCCTGTAAAGTTGAAAATATTTTCTTTACATGGCCTACATGATTCCAGGTAACTTTCATTAAAACTATTTTTTATAAATTTTACAGTTGCAGAGTTACAGAAAAATCCCTCTTAAGTTAGGTTAGGTTAGGAACACCCTGTATATCTAAATGATACTTACTAATTAAGTGCAGTATTCAAATATCTACCAGTTTTTGAGTGTGGGCGATATATATAACCTACGGAGTAGGTATGTCATATCTTCATTGTCATTGCTACTGGCAGAGAGCAACCCACTAATCTGTATGTACTATGAAAACACGACTCATATCGCGCCAGACGGAATAAACTTTTTAACTAAACATCTGTATGACTAAACCTTTCGTGGTTGTCTCTCGTATGAGACCGAATAGGTTTGGAACTGTTATATATCTTGTGTCTTGTTGACCAATGATTTAACCGTTTTTAGAGACTATGGATATAATTCAACGTTGGCCGGAATTTGTAGCCCGCAGAGTAGTTGTTTCCCATATTATAATTAGTTAAAAATTGATATTACTGCACTCAGTTGCATAATTAATATACTTACAACATTCTCTCTAGGTTATATCTCAATGATCTTAGAGCTTCAGAATCTGTGGCATATCTATGTAAACGGAATATTGGAACACCCTGTACAATTAGAAATTGTATGCCCTCTAATAAAAAACTATATATTTCGTGTTTTGCTTTCGTATGCTGTATGGTTCTTATAAATATAGTGTCGGAGCTATGGTTCAAAGTCAGTCAGTATGTTCATTAATTTTAGTCGAAATTGTACGCAAAACTGAACTTCTTTCAATACATTTGTTGTTTGTATAAAAATACATCCATTTATCGTCAACTTTTTCATTTAATAAAATAATTTGGAAAGATAGTTCCTTTTGGTATGTTTATTGATGTTATACAAATCGTTAACTTTTCTATGATGACTTTTCTTTTTTCTTTTCTCTACTAAGACGAAATTTTTGAAAATAAGACAAAAAACACGTGTCAAGGTTCGTAGTAAAATTTTAAGAACAAGGCTAACATGATTCAAAATCCAATATTTAGTTTTAGAAAAGAGGTATTCAAATACATTAAAACTGATTAAATTAAAAAGGAGTATCTCATGTGGACAATGAAATTTTTACGCAATGATTTGTAAATTTTGAAAAGAAAAAAGAAGAAAGGAAAAGTATATAACCTATCTTTGTTTTTATGTTGTCTTCTTTCCTAACTATTAATAACTGCCAATATTTGCATAATATTCAAATTGTAAAAAAAAAAATCGGAAAGAATGTCTTGTTAAGAATAATTATTTCTTGCTTTGTCTCTCATGACAGTCCATGCGTAAAATTAGTAGTATACAATAGACTCAATATAAAGCTTTTATGAGTAATACTACTTTTAATATTTGGAATTTAAATTGTGATTGCTATAAATTTAAATATTTAAATTCAATGTGCTCCTCAGGTATAGTAATTTATTTATTCAAATTAAATCAAAGGAAATCTGCATACTTAATATTATAGTCTAATTCTAGTAATAATCAATATAAATTTAACGGCCACATTAATAGCTGTTAATACCACTAGAGCAATAATATTTGTGTAAATTTATTCAGAGATGTTTCTATAGCACTACTGATGATCTAGTAATTCTTTTATCACTGTGAGATATGAAATGATTTGTTAAATTTCCAATAAAATACATAGTATTATGTAATAATTATTTATAAAAATCCATTGTTTACTGCATGAAGAGTTGCTTAAAAGCGCCAGGTGTTTTTTCAAAAAAAATTTAAAATCCGAAAAAGGACGTTGTAAAAGAAACGATGATGGTTTCTGGTAGCAGCAATATAGAAACGAAAATGTTATTTAGTAGAATTCTTTTTGAGAGCGTGCTATAATAAAATTTTGACAAATTAATTTAGTAACAGGATTATCCAAAATGTTTCCCTTTAAACTATCTTATACTATCAAATATCACCATAGTGCACCACCAAAATAGCCCTCCCGGTATATAATTGCTCCTTAGTCAAACTCTTTAACATAGCTAATACTTATGTTTTATAAAAACTTTCATTTTTTGTTCTATGGGTATACATTTGTCTCAAGATTAGATTTTATCGGGCATTCATAAAATTAATTAATTAATCACTTTATTAGCTAAAACTCTAGTGCAAGCTTTAATTCCACATATAATTGTACCGTCAACATCTTAATATTATTTACAAACAATTAATTTAAGCACTGACATTATTATGTAATAAACAAGCGTTAAAAATATAAAATACTTTTTCTTTAAATTTTGGTTCCGCAGTGTTTTGTACATGTTCTAGGTTCCTTCCTAACCTAAAGTATTTTTTATCATAGGTTTTACGCCAGTTTTTTGTTTAATGCAAATATAATCACTTGACTGTTACTGGGCAAGGTTAAGTAATTTTTTATTTAAGTTTTTGCTAGAATCTATTACTGCAATCATATGAATTGTTATTATAATAATTGTTCCTCCATCGTTCAAAATCGCAAATACTACTTACTCGCCCTTCTATCCGCCTTACTGTTACCAATCACAATGAATGTCTCTTGTTGTAAGTTTCACGCCGACCTTTAATTCCTATTAGTTAATGATTGGTACTGTAGTGCAGACCTAAGCTTTGTTGGTGGAAAGACGCGTCTTTGAAGCTTTGTTTCGTTTCGTGTGTTAAGTTCTACAAACGGGAAGGAGTTGGTAGGTACTGTTTTTATTTGATTCTTTTTGGTTCCTTTTACTAAACTTTCGAACATTCCACATTGCGTTAAACATAAGAAAAAGTTTAATTTATAAAAAATGTAATTTTAAACTTGCTGTCTCATCAAGGCGGATGGAGGTTATGAAGTAAAGGAGTGCTGGATCTGTAGTTAAAGCACGATTAAATCTCTGTCTATAAACAACAGGGTGTTCCGGAAATAATGGTAAAAAAGTAAATTTTGCAATCCTTGCTCTGTTTGATGAGTAGCGTATGTTATAAAATACTTCCATTGCAGTTTCTCTTAAATAGTTTCAACCCCTTTTAGAGGAAGTGGAGGAAAGTCAGGAATCAGTTTTTTTCCAACTACTTTTAGAAACAGCTGCAGTTAGAAAAAGGGAATGTGGTACGCATGTAGCATTGGTATAAACTTGGTATATTATTTATCTTTTTCCTTCACCTTTATTTATTTTTAATGAAATCAAAACAAAATAATCCCTGTTTATTAATTTTATTATCTTCTCTTCTAAAATATATATATGAATATGTATTTTAGTTTTTTAGTAAGAAAAAGGTCTAAATCTTAAGGATTTCGGTTGCGGAAGCTGCAAGAAATTGAATGAAAAATTAAATTAAAAGTTCACTGAAGTTTCATTCTAATGGTAAAAATACAGGGTGTTTCAGGATTAAGTCGACAAACTTTAAGAAGATATTCCTCATAAAAAAATAAGAAAACAATCAAGTATAAATTATTTTTCAGAGACGCTTCATTTTCGAAATACAGGGCGTTAAAGATTTTTAAAAAAATTATAATTTTTTAAATAACTTCTAAATGAAGAAGGCTATTTAAGCCAAATTTGGCATGACACATCTTATAAGATACTACTTTTCCATAGAAGTAGAAGTCCCGCAGGCAACCAGTGGCAGAGTTATGGGGACTAAAAAAAATTAATACGGCCCTACTGAAAATAAAAATGACGCTGTTTGTAGATAGAACAGTTTGTTATTGATAAAAAGTGTACATTCACTTTTTTTCATAACTCTTATAGTTTCATGGCAAAATTGATTTTTCGGAAGGGTGCTTCTAGATTTTGTCGATAAACTTTAGGAAGACGTTCCTCATAAAACCTAAAAAAACATAGTACCTATTAAAATTGGTCTTAGTCTCGCGTATATGTGAGTCAAATAAGCCTTTTTGTCTCCCCTACCCTTGGGTTTAACCAATAGTATTAAAATTATTTAGGAGATGCTTCGTTTTTGAGATATAGGGTGTTTTTTTAGAAAAAAAATGATGTTGATGAAAACAATAAAAATATTTAAGTACCTAACATCTAATGTGACTATGTCGTAATGTGACAACGTAACGACCCTTGCAATACTCCTAAATTTTTTCAGGCGGTTTGTAGTCACTTCATTTACTTGTGTTGTGTGTGTACTTTTAAATAAAATAAGATGGCAAACAATACATGAAAATTTATTTGTAAATTGAAACAATCAAAAAATTATCAATTAATATTATACCTAGACAAAGCGAAAAGTGATGATGTTACGTATTTAAATATTTTGAAAGTTCAAAAATTATGTTTATCTGTGAGACAAAAATTTTAGATATAATTGATTTGACAGTTCATGGCCTTTTCAAACGTTAACGGACTTTACCGCCAAGTCTACCTACTATTAGACATAATATACATATTTAATCCTTTGGACTGGTTATTCCAAGGTTTGCAAAATTCAAATTAAACTGAGCGTCTCCAAAAAAACTTACTAGTCCTGTATAAATTCAGATGTTCTAATTTACTAATCTAATACCTCGACTTCGATTAAAAATAAAAAAGAAGACATCAGGTAGCCGCACAAAATGTGTCGTTAAGGTTGTTTGAAAATGAGAGTGAAGGAAAGTCATATCGGACCGGATTTGCCACTCCTCGGTTTTTATTGCTGTCTAGGGTCCTTAGCAACTTAAATGTAGATTCTTGTAAATATTTATTTATCGTTATTTATTAACAGTAAATTAAAGAGTCATCAGGAATTAGAATATCAAAACACTCTGCTTGTATGTCAACAAATACGTGAATTGTGAGGATTTTGCTATACTCGTGTCGGCTATTTAAAAAATTTACGAAAGAATCAGTGAAGGGACATGGAAGGGGGAAAAGAGGTAATGGTGACCGTTTTGCGGACTTTACATATCTTTGCCGGTATTTTTGTTATACATCACACACGTTGTGGTCACTTTTTTAAATCGGTAGTTCCTTGGTATTTAACTCTTACTTTAGTAGTAGCTTGGGTAAGTGATTTCATTTTTTTTTATTTTGAACCTTGCAGTGGCATAATGGAGGATGTTTTACATTTTGTTAATCTGCATCTACTTGAACCATATACAGGATGTTTAACCCAAAACTGACGTGATATATGAAGGAGAAAAATACTTTCTAATGCTTTCCATGACACTGAAAGTTAATATAAACCTATCTTATTTTAAATGCAATGCAATTTTTTTATTGTATTTTTGTTTTTAAGACAGGAATGTTTTATCTCGGAACTTAATAGTTTAAATTTGAAAGATATTTTAATTCCTTCACAAATTTTGATAATTTTTGGATTATCTTGAAATATTCATACAGGGTGTTAGATATATTTGGTCGGAAATATATGAAGAACGAATTTCAATTGAATTTTAAATATCTGTATACAGGGGTTTCTTGTTATGTCCTCCGATCCTTTATGATTATGAAATTAGCTATAACTTTTTTATTTTAATCTAAACACCAATATATTTTTAGATATTCGGGGAAAGTCTAAAATTTTAAGAAAAAAACATAGCGCACCCTTATATCCGTTTAGGAGATATTGAACATTCTATTAAGTTTTCATTTAGTTGATTATGTTTGTCACGCGAAACTAAAAAAAATATGTGTAACTAAAAGTATTTTACATTGAGGAAAGTAGATAAATGTTGATGATCACAGATGCTTAAGTTAATGTCTCGAAAATTTTTCGTTCCCAAAACTGAAAACACTTACAGGCACTTTGCTAACAATTTGAAAGTTTTGTAAGAATCTCCACAACTTGCATTTCGTCATCTTTAAACACTGACTTCTTTATTTCAAACTGAAGACACTGTATTCTTTTTTAATTAAATGAAATTAAACTTTCATCTAATGTAGGCATTACAAGGGATAAAGTTACAATTTTCTTATTATTGGCATTTACTTTTTTTTTATTTTTAGAAATATTTCATAAATATGATTTGATCGAATTAACCCTTAATGATTGCGCCCTCGAGGAAACCCCGGTATAGCAAAGCAAATTTCATACCAAAACAAATTAATATACCGACCGGATCATTAAAGTTTTTTTTAAATATTTTCTTTACTTTTGACATACTCAACTCTATGGTAAGTTACTTTTAAAATAAGAGAAGAAATTACTAATTCGAAAATGAACCATACTTCTACCAAATTGGCAGATCTTTTCACGTTGATGTATGACCACGAGTCAAATGAAATAATTGACTTTCAAAAAAAGCCAGTGGTGTAAAAATTCACTTATCCATATAATGTTTTAAGATAGGATTTTCAAAATCTACAAAGTGTTTAAATTAATTTTTTGGGTATTACTGCATATGCGATATTAAATTATAAAGTGAAAAAAAAGGAAATAGATAAATACTGAATTTACTTTACAAAATGGCAAGAACTTATTGAGAACTGCTGAAGTCGAGAAGGAACGATACGTCGTATTCTTACATGGCACCATATTTCCATGTAGGGTTGTAACTGATCAGAATCGCGTGTTTTTGAACGAGTTTTATAAATATTGGATTACTTAGTTTCTGGCAAGTTGAAAAACGATTTGTCTACTTTCTGCGACCACAGCATTTTGTCTACATTCACCATATATCCATCAATTCCTGACTAACATTAACCCTAACAAAAATAACGCCTACTACAGTTTTATCCACATTCAACTAAAATATTGAAATACAGAAGACTTTTAGATTCGAACGAACAACCTATTTTAATACGATCAGTATTAATTTGTAATATTTGGTGGTACTGGGTCATAAAATAACGATTAGTCTTTACTTCGGATGCTGGACTAAATAGTAATATTTGGCAACAACTGATTCATGTACAATAGTATGGTGTTAGTAAAATTTATTTTTTCTACCAACTCTAGGTAACTCCTACAAAGGTAAATTTTTAGCAATAATTTCCTGTACTCAGGAGCTATAAAAGGAGCCTATTAAAAATAAATTCCCAAGTGCGTAGATACTCTGTTCTCTGTACGGAATACAGTATTCAGCAGATGAGCCATTTTGAAGCTCCGATTTTATTTAATAAGATATTCTTTACATTAGAGAATAATTGAGCTCATAGTTCAGAATTAAACAAATGCCACTTTCTGTATTTACATCTTAAAATGTAGGAGTTTTATGAATTTTATTATAAAAAGGTTTAATAGATAAGTAGGGCTGTCAAAACCAAACCGCGGGACATAGGCGTACGTATTATTTATTAAAAAGCAACAATACACTGCTATAAACACCAACAGATAAGAATTAATTACGCAACATCCGCACGTTAATAAATCAACAGTATACTAACGTGACGTGAACGTGAAAAGCATTCTGGAGCAGCGGCTCACGCATATCTCAGTTGATCGCTTGACACACCATTGAATTGTGGCTCTCTCTGACAGCCTATTAATAAGACAACTTGGTCATTTATGTAAGGTTAAATTCGCGGCGCCGTATAAGAAAACAATAATTGTATACTTCTCAGCAGGACATAATTTTGGCCCCTCGAGGGGCTTTTTTTAATCGCTTACGTCGAACATACATCAAATCAGTGTCAAATCTTGTACTCTTAATTTTGGCATTGCTCTATATTAAGTTTTTCGCCGTTACTGTTCTGCGGCCTTCGAATATTTATCGGATATGAATTTTTTTGCTTGTCTGAGTGTGGGCGCGACTACCAAATGGAAATCCGATGTG